ACCTTTTTAGCCATGTAAAGGCTAAAGCATTTGACTTTATGGATTAAGTCTTTGAGGTTCCGATATTCTGAATTTTGGCGTCATGGCATAAGGTATTAAGACCTTAGGGTGAATTTTTGGTCAAAGGTCGGGAACACCACGCACTCATCTCAGGAACGTGGTGCATTCCGACAAGCATTCGCGATCCTCGGTCAGGACAAGAGTGCCCATCGGTCCCCCAGGGAATGCATCATCTTCTTCTAATCAGTGGAGTGTTTGGTTGTTGGGCTTGGATTTAACTTTGGTTGTGGGCCTTGTTGTTTGGGCCTTTGGGCCATTTGAGATTTATTATTGGATAAGGAATTATTAGGCTTTAGGATAAGGCCTATATGATGGTTGGGCCTAATTTAGAAAATTAGGCCATTAGTGGGCTTTTATGGATCTTCTAGTTTTAGGATTGGGCTTTAGTTTTGGTTCAAGTTGAGTTAGGGGTAAAACAGTCATTTTACCCTAATAATGGATTATGGATCATAGTTTGGAACCTAATTGCTAATTAGGTGTTATATTGGTATTAATAGCTCGGGAAGTTGTGAGGGCATCATCTAAGGATTTCTTTTGGTGATCTTGTATATTCGAGGTAAGTCTCCCTTCATGAATGTTACGGGTCGAAGGCACCAAGGCCGACCCTTTATTTATTGTATAATGTGATGGTTGTCAGTGTGATAATTATCATTGTTCATGTATTGTTTGATGATCATGTGATTTATGTATGTTATTATTTGGTTGTGGTAGGGGTGAAATAGACCTCGTAACCAGTTAAAATAGACCGGATGGTAGTCGGGCACCCAGATATGCTTGGCAGGGTAGGTCGGGCAACCCGATATACCTGACACGGTAGGTCGAGCACCCATATATGCTCGACAGGGTAGGTCGGGCACCCATATATGTCTGAAAGTATGTTTATGTTGTATGTGATTTGGTGGGGGAAACTCACTAAGCTTTGTGCTTACTGTTTTAGTTTGTGTTTCAGGTACCTCTAGTTCGAAAGGAAGAGCCCATATTGATCGCAGTGTACACACCTATGTTTTTCCACAACTTATGGTTTTGGGAATCACTCTGATAATTGTTTTAACTTGGAATACCTTAATGTTCTAATAAATTAAAATGGATGTTTGAATCTATATGTTAAAAAATGAAATTTTTATCCTTGATTTTTGGGAAGTTACATACCTCCATTTTACCTAAACCTTCCATGTGCTCTTCTTGTCAGATGGCGAAGGTACAATGGTTACCTTTTGTAAAAAATTATAAACGTGCTATGAAAGTTTTGGATATTATACACTTGACCTATAGTGCCCATCCCCAGTTTGTTTTGTTGACTCTTATCGTTATTATGTTTCATTTGTGGATAACATTTCTCGCTTTACGTGGTTCTACCCCTAAAGACCAAGTTCGGGTTTTGTGATATATTGGATGTGTTTCTCAAGTTTGTACATACTTAATTTAGCACCAAAGTAAAAGTGTTTGCAAAGTGATGGTGGCACAGAGTTCTTGAATCGCAAGTTCCGGTGTTTACTTGACCATAATGGCACGTTTCATCACGTCTCTTGCCCTACACTCCCACTTAAAATGGTAGGGTGGAACATAAGCATCGACATATTGTCGAAACTGGTCTTGCAATGATGTTTAATGGCAAAATTCCTCCTGAGTATTGGGTTCATACATTCAATTCCACTGTTTACATTATTAGTCGACTACCCTCATTCGTCTTATGTACCAAAACCCTGTATGAGTTGCTTTATGGTACACCACCCTCTTATGCTCACTTTCTCCCATTCAGGTGTCGGGTTTACCCGTACTTATGAGACTATGCGGATTATAAGTTGTCTCCATGCAACCTTCCTTGTGTGTTTATTGGACATTGTTCTCAATATAAGGGTTTTCAATGTTTGGAGCCGACTACCCAATGAATTTTTATCACAAGGCATGCTAGGTTTGATGAAACCTCCATTCCATTAATCGACAACACTATGGCTTCTTCTGCACATATGCTCACTCTCACCTACTTTCACGATGCATCGTTCCGAGCTCCTATATTACGTCCCATCACCACAACATCAACACGTTCTACCTCCTTATCTCCATGTAATCTCTGTGTCGATCCACCCACATCTTCCGATGCTTCCGATCCAAATCCAACGTGGATCCCACTGGTGTTCCCTTCTCTGACGATGATACTACTTACTCTGACACCAATGATACTTCATCCACTGCAAGTGTTGACTTGTCTGCGACCAATGCTGCTCATACTAGCAGTCCGCCATCAGCTGCCTCACTACCATCAGATGCTTCACCAGTGCCAACTCTACCTGTTCCACTTGCTCACCCGATGATCACATAGGCAAAAGCTGGCATTATTAAACTAAAACATCGAGCGGACATGGCCAGATCCCTGTCTCATGGGCTTCTTGCAGACTTCACACTTCTAATGACCCCAAAAGGTACAAAACTATTGCTCGTACTCCTCACTGGGTGTAGGCCATGAAAGATGAACTTGAAGCTCTACGTTGCCACAACACTTTTACCCTAGTTTCTCGTTCCCAGAATCTCAATGTTGTCGGCAGTAAATGGATCTTTCGCACCAAATATCTCGCTGACGAATTGTTGGATCATCACAAATCCCGTCTTGTTGCTTAAGGTTTCATCCAAATTCCGAGATTAGACTACTCTCATACATTTATTCCCGTGGTTAAGGCGTCCACTTTTTGCGCCGTCTTATCTCTCGCTGTTGTGCACAAATGGGATTTTCACCAACTCGATGTCAATAATGCTTTTTTCTGAACGGCTCCTTAGATGAACCTGTGTACATAGAGCAACCACCATTTTTTCACAATGCAAAATTTCCTAATCATGTAGGTCATTTGAACAAAGCTCTCTACGGCCTCAAGCAGACCCCGCATGTATGGTTTCATCGGCTTAGCATGATCTTGGTGGCAAATGGGTTTATGTGTAGTCGAGATGATCCTTCTTTTTTTGTGTTCAAAAGAGATGCTTGCATTAATTTTCTTGTCTATTTTGATGACTTGATCCTCACAGGTAATCAGGAATCTGTAATCCATTCGTTTTTTTGAGAAATTGCATCTCGAGTTTGCCATCAAAGATCTCGGTCGTTTGAACTATTTCTTTGGCCTTGAAGTTACTTACACTGATGATGGCATGTTTCTTGTTCAATCCAAATACGCTCATGACATCCTCAAGTGAGCCGACATGCTAGATTCTAAATTGGCCACCACTCCTCTTGCACCAAATGCGGTCTTTGTCACTACCGGCGACCCTTATTGTGACCATACTCACTATCGCTCTCTTGTTGGTGCACTTCAGTATCTGACGATTACACGACCCGATATCTCATATGCTATAAATCAAGTCAGCCAGTTTCTTCAAGCACTGACCATCTCGCATTTTCAAAGTTTCGTATGGATCCTTCGCTATGTCAAGGGCACCGTATCCTTTGGCCTTACCTTCTCTCATCGAAAGGTTCCCTCTACTCTCCTCCGGTTTTCAGACGCTGACTACGTTGCTGTCTTGAGATGCGGCGTTCCACTTATGGCTACTCCATCTTCTTAGGCAGTAATCTTATCTCGTGGAGTGCTAAGAAACAACCCACCATCTCCTACTCTAGTTGTGAATCTTAGTATCGGGCGATGGCGAACACTGTTGCTGAACTCGTTTGGCTCACTCACCTGTTGTGTGAGCTCCATGCTCTTCTGGCTACTCACCCCACTTTACTATGCGACAACAAAAGTTCCTTGTTCCTCACACAGAATCCTGTCTCTCATAAGCGTATGAAACACATTGAACTTAACTACCACTTTATTCGAGAGCTTGTCTCTTTCGGGAAGCTTCAGACTAAGTTTGTTTCTACCAAGATTCAAGTAGCTGACATCTTCACCAAGATCCTTCCTTATCACCAATTTGAGTTCTTCTGAGGCTTGCTCACCATTGGTCCTCCATCATTCAGCTTGAAGGGGGATATTAGATGTAACACAAGTAAGTAGTGTTTTTTTTGTAATACTTATCTTCTATATGGTTCTGTGTGTAACTTCATATTCTATTTATTGTATCTCTTTGCCTCTTGTGGGTATCAGAGAGTCATTCCTCTCAAAATGCTTACAGCTATAAGGAACAACCTTAAGCTCATGAGAAGACCTAATTATATGCATATGTTGTTAAAAGACCATAATAATGTTTGTTGATTTCTAAGGTTATTCTCTCCCATTCTAAACAAAGTACAAGCATCCAATTCACTCTAATACATAAATTGTGATGAATTTTAACTATGAATTCAAACATCAAACTTAAATAATAAATGATTTAAAACGTACTTGAAAATTTTCTTTAACACAATACTTATGTAGATTGCATTATAGCACACCATTCTCTACTAAAATGTTGTTGTCATTTAGATTGAAACCTTGTATGATTTATTTTTAAAATACACAAAATCCCTTAAGTTTGAGAAAAAAATATGGTTTACCCTACGTTCAAATTTATGTTTGTATTTGAGAAGTTTTTGTCATAAATGGATTTTATCAAAAAAATTTAGAACAATGAGATTATATAGAAACCCCAAACTAGCAAGACGTTAGAGAAAAAAAGTCAGAATAAAATTAAGCATTATTTGACTTTTATCAGGTTTTGCCCTTCGTAACCGGTCACCCATGTCATGTCCGAAGCGCATGTGACATAATTAAGCCAAGTAGGATGCCATGTAAGTGAGATGTGGCCAAGTATATGTTTGTGTGTATTATCTTTTGTATCATGTATGTATGTGTTGTAGGTATTAATCTAGTATAGATAAAAGAACGTTTTTTTTTTTTTTTTTTTTTTTACAAATTTAGTAGAGATTATTGGAAAAAGCTTATTAACAAGAGAGTTTTTTGAGATTTAATTTGAAAACACAATTGGTGCATTGGGATGGTGTGCAGTGTGCATGATTGTGGTGGCTTGCAACCGTGACCATGAACACTTACATTGTAAGTACTCCAAATGGCCTAACTCTAAAGGATTCACCCGGTAGTTTAAATGAGCGCCACAGTACATTGTCCTTGCAAGTCATTTTCATATATTGTCCGCCTAATGTATATTTACTTCTCTCTATCGTCTAATATTCCTCATAGGTGCTACTAACTACCAATATGGAATGTCACCAGCCCATGTCTTAAAGGAACATCCCCAGCCCACACATCTTCCCAATATCTTCTTGAAGAACAAAATTTTATGTCGAACATAATTTAATATAAAATGGAAATCTGTAAAAAAAAACTACAACAATAGTTTTATATTCTTTTGTTTGATTTATTTTTTCCTAGTTCCACACAACATTTAAAATTCCAAATCCATTGTTATTTTATTAAAATAAACATTAAATTTTTGTTTGTATTTTATACATGCCACATAAACCGAAACCAATATGAAAACAAATATTGGATATAATGAAAAACAAATATTTCAATAAATGATTAGTTAACATAAATATATTTGTTTTTTAAAATGTAATATATCCTATTGAAAACACAAACTAAACTCACCTTATATATACAGCACCCTTGTTTGAATAAATCTAACTACCTTCAAAACAAAAGTGACTCTACCACCAATTACTCGAAGTTGAAAGAGATAGTTGTAAGTAATGCCCTTTAACTAATTATGATTATTTTTTATTTTCTTAAACCTTGTGTACAAGGAATATTCTACATTTAAATAAAAATCTTGGTTATTTTCTGTGTTCAAGATGTTTAAAAAAGAATTTGATTAATGTCTATTCAACTTTGTTTTAGAACTAAAAAAACTAACTTTGTTTTAAAACGTTCCTTATAATTTGTTTGGTTAATATTAGGGGTGAGCATGTGAACAAAGTACCCGCTTTAGGAACCGGAATTGCCATGGAATCACCGGTTCTGGAACCGGAATCGCCTTAGGCGGTTCCGGTTGCAGTTCCCAAAGATTTGGAACCGCCTTATACGGTTCCGATTATGGTTCTTTGTTTTTTGGAACCGTTAACCGCTGGGTAACCGTCGGTAATATATATATATATATATATATATATATATATATATATATATATATATATATATATATATATATATATATATATATATAGTAATTTAAACGACTTACACAGTTATGAAAGATTTATTGAATAGTTTAATTTGTTATTGTGTAATTGTTATCTGTGATGTAAATTAATTAGTTTCAAATTTAGCATCAAATTGATGTCTACACACAAAAAATGTTAGTACGTTTGTATGATTAATTTTCTATTTAAATGGGTCACACATGCTTTTTAGAGTTATGTTACAATTATCGTTCAATTCTTACTTCTTGATGCTTAATGAATGACTTGTTTGATTTTATTGATAATTATTTTTTTGTAAGTATGGAAAATATATAGGTTTTTTTAAGATATTAAAAGTCTAAAAAACTAATGAACCGGGTACCCGTTTTGGAACCGCTACCCGCCGGTTCCGGTTCTGGTTCCAATATTTTAGAAACCGGTATCACCAGTTCCAACTTTGTAGGAACCGCCAGTTCCGGTTCCAGTTCCAATCAAATATGGCGGGTACTTGCCTATGCTCACCCGTAGTTAATATAGATGTATGTTTTATATTTTAATGGTTTGTGTTACCTTTTCAGAAAACATCAAACATGACATTTCCAGTTAAATATACTTTTCAAATTGATTCGTTTAATACCTGTGATCGATTCGTACGAAAAGTCAAAGAGACACTTTTTGAGCTTGATGATGTTTTAGTAGTAGCAGTGAATGCTAACAACGGGGAAGTCACCGTCATAAGTACTTCTCAATCTCCTGAAGGAATCAAATCTGCTCTTGAGGGTGCATTTCCAACAAAACAAATCTTTCTATTACAAGAAATTATTCATCAAGATCCACCATCTACTCTTTACACACAACAAACCCCTGATCAAAGTTCGTTTGATCTTTCTAGTGTGGCTAGATCATTGCCAATTGCATCTGATCATGTTGATGGGTTACAAAATGTGGAGATTGAGTGTAGTAGGATCAACCAATCAAGTACTTCTAGTTCTGGATCTATAGTCAACAATACGACTCCTGCACAATCATCATTAAATATTCAACAATCAGAGAACTATAGTTGGATTTACAAAATTGAAGAGATAGATGATGATTAACTCAAGATCAAGATTATAGCTAGTTATCCGACTATATACTAAAGGGAGTGAACAAGTTATATAATTTTATGTTTTTAATATGAATAAGACACAACATGCAATAAATGAATGAGATTAAGACATATTATAACACTATATATGATTTATGATTATTGATTTTTTTTCTCTTTCCTCTATAACATAGTAATCTCCCGTGTTTGATCCAATTGACTAATTGACATTTATATTACGTTGAGCAGTATCGGTTGGTTGAGGTCCCAAAAAAAATTTCCATTCTTTAAGGTGTACTATACATGTCGAGCTTTTTAATATTATGCTAATTTCTTACAATTTATTGCTAAAACCTTTAGGAATAAATACATTTATATACTTTGGCCTACATATAAATAATAAGTAGTTTTATTTGGAGGAGAAAAAGTTACTTAATTTCTGAGAGCTCGTTATATTTCCAACAACTGATGTTGAATTTAATAATTAAACTTCATTGTCAATTTTCTCGAAGGAGCACATAGTTAGAATACATATATTTATAGATGATTTGTATACAACAAATTTCTTCTATACACAAAAAAAAATGTATTTTAAAATGTTGTACTCTACAACCCTTTCAAACATAAATTATTGTGTATAGAAAAAAAAATGTTATGAATTAATCACTTTCATGAGTGAGGCTCACTTTTGGATCCCATGTCAACCTAATATAGCCAACCCTTTGGCCTTATATTGATACAAGTATACATTGTATTGTACAATTATGTTTAAAGATGATGAGAAAACACTATAATCAATATTGCATCAAAGATTGTTCGATCCTTCTTTTCTTTTTTCTCTCGTAAAAATCATCCTCTATCTTGGCCGCATCCTTCCCTCGTGCTAACACCATTTTTACATGCTCTCTTCTCCCTTTGGATCAACATGATGAGCACGTCATATCACTCTGACTAGGTTTTCAGTGTCACCAACATCAAATCCTACATACCTCTTATGCTAGATCTCGATCGCCTCTTCTATGACGTGTGACGGGGGATCTCATCCTTTCATTGCATTGGGTTTGATGTTATTGAAAACATAAATGACACCTAAAAAGAATCGGCCCCAAAACCTTAGGATCCTGAATGGAAAAAATTCGACATGATTTTGAAACTTTGGATCTATGCACCATTTCTAACATGGATGAGTTTCGAATATGATCATCGGTTTTGAATGGGTTCTTCATATTCAAAATAATATATGCATCTAAATGAGCTACATATGTATGTTTTATAGATTATTCTATTATACAAAACATGCTAATACACAAAACCAACAAATACAACCTTAAATTTAGCACGAAGAAGTTTGAAACTAATCAAAAAGTTTTCCACTTGTTGTTCTTGAACAAAACCCTAATTTGAAGGAATAATAAGTTAGGTAAACTTTAAACGGTGAATACATAAATCAACCTATCATCTTTCTTATTAGTATCATAGATTTATATCTATGAAAAATAAAAATAAAAATAAAAACTTATTCAAATTTACGGTAAAATAAGTATGTAAGTACACCCTAAATTAGATCATTGGTTGATTAAGAGTTTTTCTTTAAGAGAAAAAATATTAGAGTATATTATTATTATTTGTATTTTACCATGTTCATTTATAACACGTTGGTATACAAGGTTAGGGAATTCAATATCGAGCAACTACATAGGTTTATAATTTACTTCGTAAAAATTAATTCAATAATCATAGTGGCGCAATGGAAGCATGGTGGGTGTATAATCCACAAGTCCGAGGATCGGAACCTGGATATGATAAGAGAAGCTTTCGTTTAGTTTTTAACTAGTTTATCCATGCATACATCTAGGACATCATTTCACATATTTTCCATTGGACTTCATTAGTTGGTCTCTTTACCATATACTAGTAATCAACTGACAAGCATTTCATTATCCCGAAGTCAAAACAATTAATTTGTTGGATATAATAACTTAATAAAAAAAATTAAATTAAAAAAAAAAGATATATATGATTATATTAATATTCCAATGCATTTGACTATTTAATCTTGAACAAAAGTTTATATTTTAATCACTAAACCCTATAAAGATTAAACCTATAAGTTAATGGGTATAAAACCATTTTAGTAAAAGATTTTATTATGTAAAAAGCAAAAACCAAACGAAATGCTCATATAACGTTACATAGTGAGTGCACGTCAAATGTGCCAATATCTAGTGAATATGACCAAAATTACACATTAATGGTATGATGCATACAACGATGTGCTTATGGCTTGTAGCATGCTCATATTCCAAAGTAAAAGTAAAGTTGTAGCAAAGAATAAAAAGATACTTCTTGAAATTAACTTGTTACATAAAACCTTTTGCATGTATTAAGTTATTGTGACTAAATATAATGGGATAAGAAATATTTCTGTCATCCATCCTTCTTATCATTTTTAGAAAGTTTGAACTTTTCCAGGAAACTATTTTCGTCTCACTAGTTGTACTTTCAGATCCATTATAATTACTTAGACATATTACGAGTAATGAATCAACTAGTGGTTTCACGTGTACAAACTTATGATTATTAATTTGTTTTTGATAAGGCCCATAATCCAAATCTCTCTCATGTGGGGCGTCTATTTAGATATGACACATAATATTCTTATATTTTACCAATATCTGCAGGGCCGGTTCGGAGATTTTAAGGGTCCTGTGCTAAAAAGAAAAATGAGGCCCTAAATATAATTTTTAATATATAACGTAAACAAATTTAAGACGGTGAATTGTCGTTACGGAAAACTTAAAAGTAAACAAATTAATTAAAATGGAACATATGGAATTTTATAAGAAGTTCAAGGGTTAATTATGTAACTTTTAAAAACTGATTTGCTAAACATTGGAAGTAAGGGTTGATTATGAAATATATAGCATAAAGTAAGGGTCAAAACTGTAATTTGAATTTAAAAAATCAAAATGTCGTGCATATGAATCGAACAGACTATCGCTTGGTTGAAAAGGAGAGACGCTTTTGCCAGTTGAGCTATACACATTTTATGGAAAAATTTGAATAGTTTCATATATATTTGATTATTAAATATATAACTTAATTAAAACTCGGGCCCTATTTTTTTCGGGGCCCTGTGCGGCTGCACCTCTTGCCCTCCCTTAAAACCGGGCCTGAATATCTGTGATTATATTCTCATCAAATTATCAAATGTTAATCGCTTATATTATAATGAATTTTTTTATAATTTCTAAACCTTATATCATCTATCCAAGGCTTTATAGGCTATAGCCCAACCATGTATTTTGTTATGCATATATCAAGATAACAACTAGTGAGTAGAAGACTATTAGACCAAATGAAGTAGGTTGTGGAAATGGTGAAGTGAAGTCTATATGGAATGCCTTTGCTGCAGTGAACAACATTCTATTGAATGGTATGCGTCTCATGGAAAGAGAACTTGACTCCCTAATGTCAAGCTCCTCCTCCTCCTTATTATCTCTCTCTCTCTCTCTCTCTCTCATGGCAAAATGAGAAAAGTGATATACATTTGTGGTGTATGGTATTCCTAATGGTAAAATAAAGTGGAGCTCGACAAGAGCTCCCCTTACTCCCTCTAGCCTTATGGTGTAACATCCATAAAAAATCACGCCAAATTTAAACTTTTTAAAACATTTTCAAAACCAAAGATTATTACAAAACCTATTTCCGAAATAGTATAATGTTAGAGTATCCCAGAATCAATCATAAAAATCATGAAATATGAGGAGCTGTACGATCACGTCATTACCTTCCCGCGATCATTAGAAGTTTCTAAAACAATAATCGATAAATGTAAGTTCGAAGGCTTAGTTAGTTACCCCCAAAATACAAATGCCATAAAACATATCAATAACATATAAGCAAACAACATGCATAATGAGCCTTCAGCCTGTCTGGACCGCCTCGCAGACCTTCAACCTATCATGAGTGCTCTTAAAGCCTTCGACACGTTTGGACTGCCTCGCATGGCCTACAACCTATCCAGACCGCTCGCCGGGCCATTGGCCTGATTGAACCCTCTTGCAGGGCCTTCAGTCTATCCGGACCTCCCTGGGTATATTGGCCTTCAGCACAAAGCAAGACCGCCTCAACCCAACCCCCAATCAAACAAATATGTGCACATAAATATCATACGTTAGCATATATAATAGTCAAACCGATCTAACTGATCACTAATCATAGCAACATCCTATAACAAGGATACAGACCTAACCGATCACTAACATAACATCATCCTATATACCAGGATACCAACCTAACCAAGTCACATAAGCATATCACCATCCTAACTACCAGGATGCAAATCAATAAGTATATCATGAAATAACCGGATACAAATCCGTAAAGGGACGAGGTTGGTGCCTTCGACCCTGTTAGTATAGTGAGGACAACTCACCTAGCAAGTAGTGCTTAAATGAACTGAAAGTCTCCGATCATTGTCTCACCAAAAATCCCGAACTTTCCAAATAATAAATACTAAGTCAATACATGGGATATCAATCTTAACTAAGGGTCCACATAATCCATTTTGTCTTTTCTCTCTATTGGGCCAAGGCGCAAATGCCAAATCCATGATCTTAAAAGTCCATATATCCAAAGCCCATTAATGGCCCGATTTTCCTAATTAGGCCCGGCTTCCTAATTGGGCCTTATTATAGGATCCATTATCAAAACTGGCCCAAACATAATTATTCAGAGAGTCCAGCAAGTCCCAAGTCCAGTTACTCCAAAGGCGGCCCAAACCCCGAAGCCCAATTCGTCAAAAGTCCAACAGAGGGCGTACGTGGGGCATACTCCTTTGGTACGCTGGGCATACTTCCTTTTGTGTTGACCACCATCTGGGTGGTTGACTCAGTATGCTGGGCATACAAAAACTACACGGGGCATACGCGAGTTTCACCAAAACTCTAATAAGTGCTTAATAGCTTAAGCACTTAAGCCCAAACTTCAGATCCATCGACCAAATATGCCTAAGATTCATAACGTCTCAAACTTTAACACTTTGGACGTCTAGAAAGAGCTTAATATGTGGTCTTAATCCATTAAGACCTTCGTACTCCACGTATGAGACACTTTAGCTA